CATATTCTTTTCAATGTACTTGCTTATAACTGTCCCTACTAAGCTGACTACCTTCTCTCGGTGTGTCATACATGGACATGATATAGCGTAAGCTGTGTTGAGTATTTGAAAATGTTTAATGACTGTTTGTTCAAGTAGTGCTGGTACTCAGCTGTTTATAACGCTATTCTTGCAACCTATCGTCATCTTACCTTGTACTAGTGGGTACTCGACGGGATTGTTAACACGTCTTGGAATCATGAGCAGTATCAACCAATCTTGGTTTATGCTCATTGTTTTCACTTGTAACTATCAAAGAAGAGAACTGGTGGAACATTTCCTCTTTCAGCGTGTTCGTCATCTTCTCTTCTTCTTGTTATTCACCGTGTACTTGCTATATCTATGAGCTTATCAGATAGAAAGAAGAAAATCATTCTGATAGTCTACTTCTCTCAGTTATTCGCTCAAATCTTAATAATAGTTTTCAGTGGACTTAGCTTCGAAGATGGGGGGAAGAAAGCTCGAGCTCTCTGTATGAAGGTGATAGACTTGCCACTTCTGTAGAACATTCAATATTCAGAAGTTGGAAGACTATCCCAAAGAGATGGATACTTTTCATGGGCTAAATTTTGCATTCTCGGATGATAAATTATTCACCGGCGTGATCGTTTGCGCCGGTTTATGTGTTGTCTATTATTTGACAAGTACAAGTATTTGTGCAACAATTCTGGTTCTTAGCATCAGAAAGCATGCGAGATCTTCACAGTCCACTCAATTTTTAGCCAAACAGCGTAGAATTACTATCGGCATCATTTACTTCGTAAGAGAAATAATCGAGAGAAGTTTTAAAACTCCTATTGAGGGTATGGTCAAGATAATTACGGTGGGAGTTCCTGTTGTAGTTATCTCTGTATGTGTCAGTTCAAGTATAGGGAATGTCGGTACAGTTGCCGTTCTACCATCAGTTCACTATTTAGTTCTTAGTTTTAGCCGTCTCTCACTATGCAGTGATCAGCATTGCTCTCTATCCCATGATTGGTCCCTACTACGTGTTGATGTCGAACCCTGAGTATCGGAAGAGAGTAGTTGAGTTAACAACAAGAGGTATCATCTATGCTCTCTTCTATTGTATTTATAAGAAACTTTACAGCTCCAAAAGTAACTATTCTTCAACCTGTAAGTCTAAGTTCATAGTATCTCGCTGTCTATTTGGACAAACTCGATTGAGTTTTTTCCCTTATTGGTTAGTCCTGAGAGCTACCTAACTGACTCTTCTCTTGTCCTTCCCTCCAATAAGGACACAAGTTGAGAGGCTCTGTTTCTTCCGTTCTTACTCTGTACAATTTCAATTCGTATTTAAATAAATGTAAATATGAAGCCAGATTATGGTTTGTGCCAGACAGTTTTGGCTGTGTGATCTCAACGTAGAATAGTCTGGGAATAGAAAAATGTTTCCATGAAAACACGAAGCTCTGATTGTATTTCAAATCTAAATCCGAATACAAGCCTTTTTAAATAGTGTTCTAAATGAGCTTGGCACAGACAGAAGAAATCCTGCAGAGTGGTGGGCTATTAAGCCGTTCATGGTTAAGAAGTTGATGAAGACTTTGAACAGTTAATTTATTTCTCTAAGAATATCATTCAATCTACGGAACTATCCCAGTTGTTTTTGGGTTTTGTAGTTTAAGTTATAAAAGGAGCGGTAGCTGTTGGGTGCTGAGAGTATTTGGTAGAAATGAAGAGTCAGGTGTATTGATTGAGAGTTACCTTCTTATCTTTGGCATTTAATGTTGAAGAGAAATTGTTTTCTCGCTTTATAAACTGAACGGTATCATCCAAATCTTCCAGATCAGAAAGAAATAACAGTTTCTATTGCATACCATTCGCCTTTGTTATGTCTTTGTATCTTTATTGTGACAGTTCCAAAGATTGAATGTAACTTTGGTTGCAGAGGAGAGGATTCCAGCTTGAGTTTAATTCTATCTCGCGGCTTGATTTGTCATAAAATCCATTGAACATCAAGTGTGATAACGTTTCTTTAAGGGAATCGGCTGTCTCCAGTTAGCGGTTTAATGAGCCAACATTCGAAGCATTGCGGACGGTTCCCAATCTCATTGGGAATTCACACAGTCTCCTGTCCGTTCACCAATATGAATTTTCGCACGATTTTTTCCTTTGTGGGAGGTTGAGCTTTATCATTTAGAAACGCAATTCTGCAAATATATCTCGTTGAAAAACCATTCGCCAGCATTTACCAACCAATAGTTCCACTGTATTTAGCAGTGGATATCTCTGTTCATATTTTAATTTCAAATTCTAATCAGAGGATAAAACTTATTTCATTGTTTTTTTCTCAACGTGAGTTTTCGAACACAAAAAAATTCATTCAAGTCGGATCATTTTCCGGAAATTACATGTCTGGCGCTGTTGTCGCACTGGACACCGCTTACTGAAGCTGTGAAACGAAAATGAAATCTTTCACATTCATTTTCCAATCAAAAACGCGCTCCACTGCTAATCTCTGCTCATATTGGAATCCTCATTAGACATCCTTCTAGTCTTTATAGTTAACTGTTTTCTCCTCTTTGTTGTAGATGTTGTAGTTCGATTTATGGATTAGATGACTTCCTCTGTTCGAGAATAGTCCATAACCTCTAGTTATCGACTGATTTTCAAAATCGGATGAGTATTGATTGCCGTAAACCATTTTCATTTTGCTTTTCTGTTTTCTTT